ATATTAACCGGTTATTAACCGGTTAGCCTCATTACAAATTAACCGGTTAATTAACCGATTAATTAACCGACTATTAACCGGTTAGACGCTCTAATTAACCGGTTATTAACCGGTTAAGCTTTTTTTTGACGGTTCCAATCCCTAGTTCAAATCAGGTATTCTGTATTTACGCACTAATTGTCACGTGGTCCATTTCATAATACCAGTCGGGTTAGTACATTGCCGGTTATAACGATATTATAACATAATACTTCATATATTAATTTATCATACCTTACTTATTACACCATAGTATACTATAACTGTTTATTATATATTCGTTCAAATCAGGAGATATGAAGTAAAAATACTATATGATGTCAAAGGAAATCAGTTTTATTTTATATATAAAAAGAAGTTACAGAATTTTAAATGTATTTAAATATATATGTTAATAAAAGATCAAAGATTATTGTTCATAAAGCTAATCTGTATAAAATTTTATTTTATATTTCACTACTTGATCAGTACCATTATTACTGTTGCTACAACAATCCACACCTTGGTCCTACTTTAAACAGCTTCGGAACTTATTAACCAGTGAATAGTAATTATATAAAAATCCAAGATATATTATATTCCATCTTTTGACTTCTCAGTAATTAATAAAGATTATATTTCACAATCCAAATACTCATCCGTTAGCTTTGTTTGCTTTTACATATTCCAACATATCATTTTTTAATTGTTGATCATCAATATTGGGTATAATAATATTATTTTCATCATCGTTTATTCTATAGTATTCATTAACACAATCAATCCATTGAGATATAATATTTTCAAGCATTCTTACAGTTGGCCTATTAGAAGGATCTTCATCCCAACATTTTTTCATTAAATCTGTATAACATTTTGGAGTATTTTCCATAATTTTAGGACGTTTCCCTTCACAAATACTTACAGCATCACATTCTTCATAACTAAATGGTGGATTACCTGATGTAAATTCCCACATAATCATTGAAAAACTATAAATTTCACTTGCTGGTGTACATGGATTTTTTCTTAATATTTCAGGCGCCATATAAGGCAAAACTCCATAAGGTTCATTATCATTATCAGAATCTTGTATATCACTTATGGGTTTACATAATCCAAAATCATTAATAAATAACTCATTATAATTATCTGAAATTAATATATTACCATCATGAAAATTACCATGAACTAAACTTGATTCATGAATTACTTTAAGTCCTAATATAATTTTTTTCAATAATTGTAACTTTTCTTGCCACTTAAATTCAACTATATCAGATAAGCATTTTCTCAAATTTCCCTTTTTTGCATAACTCATTACCATTATATAATTTTTATTTGGATATTGGCTAAATCCAAATAATTGAATAAATTTTGAAAATGTTTTTTTCTGACAATTATAATGATATTTCCACTAATAAATAATAAAAAAATTATTAAATTTTTATAAAAGAAAATGAAACTTGCTTATTAAATATAAATTAAATATAAATATTATACCTCATCTAGAAATTTATCATTTGAATTATCAAGTACTTTAAGAATGACCTCATTTCCCATTTGTCTATCCCATTGTTCCAACCATAAATAGGTCCATCTAACCAGATAGCTTTATGAATTTCACCAAATCCACCTTGATCATGATAATTAATACTTGAAAGTTTATTATATGGTATCCACTCTAAAATTTCATAATTATCTTTAGCAATTAGTTGTGTTTCTTGAATAAATTTATCAATAAATTCATTATTACTAGTCCATTTTGAAAATTCTTGTTGAAATCGTTTAGCATTACATTGTTGGCACCATTGGTAATTACTATATGGTAGTCTACATTCATTACATAATTCACTTTTATTTTTAGAACTTGCTTTATTACTTTCTGCTGCTTTTCGATGCCAATAATAGGCTTTTTCTAAATTCTTTTCTGTTCCTTTCCCATCTTTGTAATATATAGATAAATTATTCATTGCTTCTTCATCACCATTTTCTGCTGATTTTTGACACCAATGAAAGGATTTTTCTAAATCTTTTTCCGTTCCTTCTCCATTTTTAAAACATATGGCTAAATTAGTCATTGCTTTAATATGATCTTTCTCCGCTGCTTTTTGATACCAATGAAAGGCTTTTTCTAAATTCTTTTCTATTCCTTCTCCATCTTTATAACATATGGCTAAATTAAACATTGCCATTTTATCATTATTTTTTGCTAATTTTTCTAAAGAATTGATACAGTCTTCGCACCATAATTCTTTAATAAAAGGTTTGTTGCAATATGAACAACTTTTTGTTCCTACTGTATTGGTATCTTTATCTGAGATATTTGGTTCACTAAGTTCGGTCTCCATTGGTTATTTTAGAAATTTATTTTGTTGAAAATATATATATATATATTTTTATTGATTTTTTTTTTTTTTTTAAGCGAACTTTTTAAATAATTTTTTTTTGAAACATGAATGAGTTATTAAAAAAGGAATATTCTAACCAATAAAGAATAAAGGTTAAATTTTTTTTCGGGCCACATTTTTCCGATGCACTGATCTGCATTAGGTAAAGTTTCTAATGATAGGAAATTCCCGTATCAATAAACAATAATTGTGTAAAAAACTTTGATACACTGGCCTCACATGATTATACAAAATTGGAAAGACGAGAACGAATCAAAATAATTGAAGATGAGAAGAGAGGTGCAGATCAGGTGACGATATCAGAAATGACTTGGTCATTTCGAATTAGGGTCAAATGATTTTCGTTCCGCAAATGCCAAATGCCAAATGATTGGATAGTTATTAAAAAAAAGATTATTGGACATTTAATTACATCATCACGGGATGTACAAAACTATATAATCACCACACCAAATTCTTTCTTTTTTTTACTGTAATTTAAAAATCGGCTTTAATAATAGAAATTATTAAAGTGATATATACTAATAATATGTTATTTATTATGTAAATTTTACTAAATATATTTTATGCATAAAAAGAATGTCCTTATTTACAATTATTATTTATTTTTTTTTATTGATTATATTATCTATTGTATAATTAGACTTTGCACGGCATAATTTTCATTACTAATTCCACTAAAATTAATGGACGTTAGTGTGAATAAAATTAAATACTGTACCTTGTAAAGTAAAAACGGATCATGTGATCATACGAGTGATACGATCGAGCGTAGATTTGTGTAACAGACATTAATTGAAGCTATGATAGTTTAGATCTTTGAATCAAAAGAAATAATTAAATGGAAAAACACTGTAATTGATAGAAAAATTATAACTAAAATTTACTATTTATTACGGAGAAAATGCGCAATTATTTAATATTATAATCACCACATGGAAATCCACATCGAATATTGTGGAAATATGTGAAAATCTGAAAAGTTCCAATATTTTCCAACTATCCTGTGACAAAACACGTGGTTTTTTCAGCGTATATCCAATGGGAATGCATGGAATTCCACATATTTCTCCTAAAAATCTCGTGATGTTATAATAGTATAAATGTATGATATTAATAACAATAAATTAATTTATTAAATAAAAACATAAAAATAATAGTTCATTTAAAGATGGATAATCTCTAATTTAAAAATATTTTACTTTCAAAAGCAACTATTTAAATTTTCATCAAATTTATTGAATTTTTAATATCATATATACAAAAAAAAAATAAACATGTTAAAAATATGGAAAAGATTTTATTCATTTAAACTTGGAGAAAAGAATCCCAAAAAGCTTGTACAATAATGTGTTTAATATGGTCTTTAATTAATTTGATAATTAATTTTTAATTTTCTCATTTATTATTAAATATTCAAAACTAACAAAAAAAAATCAATTTCTATAACATTTCTTACATTATTTGGAATATGCTTGATCTTTTCAATGTTAGATACTATTTTAATAATTATGTTTACGGGACTTTTAGAATGCCATTATTTAGATGAAATAGTAGATTATAAGATAGTGAATAAACTAACGTATGCATCAACTATTATAAGTTTTTATGTCCCGAATATTCTTCAAACATTATTGATTACATTATTTTGGCCAATCAATTTTCACTTTGTCAAAGCATGCGTGTTTATACTGATTCTACCTTTAACAAGAAATGTGTCTTACTTTTCTGATATAAAGGTGCCTGGAGAACTTCCGGCTACTTCAACAACAATAACTCAATGCTTAATAATCAGGTTTATTATAAAAAATGATTTTTAAATACATCCTTAAGGAGACACAAATATCAATAGAAGGAATGCAGGAAAAAATTACAAAAATTGATGAATTGCAGACGAAAATTGACAAAATACAGCAGGAGACGATGAACGAAAATAAAAACATAAATGGATGATAGCTTACTATTATTATTAAAATTTTTAATTTTTTAGTCAAATTAGTTTAAATATAAATAACATTTTCCGCACTTTATCTATTAATATGCGATTATAAACCTTAGAATATTATGGTGACTCAGATTTCATACGTTATTTAAATAAAAAATATTTTTTTTTCTTTCATTAAAATTTTTATGCCTGCCGACTGCCGAGATTATTTAGTTTCATCAGAGGTAAATTTTTTAGATTTCAAATAATTATATGTTTCAAGTACTATAAAACATTAATTTTCATTAAATTTGAGTAGATGTTTGATTAAAATACCTCGTAAAATAAAGCCAGGTCATGTGATCATACGACCGGATTTACACAAGACATTAATCGAAGCTATATCGGTATTCGGTAGATTAAATAATTGAACCAAATAAAATATATTAAATAAAAAAAAGATAATAATTAAAATTTATTTAATATGGAGAAAACGCGAAATCATTTTAGCATGGTTAAAAATCGTGATTATTGGTTGATTTAGAGTAGCACAAAATCAATTGAATTATGACTATGTAATGATCGGCATTTATATTGCTATTTTACTTTATAAAATAAGGTACGAAGAGTGTATTTACAAAATTTTGATACGTGTTACTAAGAAATGTCGCGTGTGTTTAATAGAGGATAAAAAAGGTTTTTTTAAAGATCCCAAAAGTACTTTTTAAGATCCCAAACTTTTATTAATACAAATGATAAACGGTAGACCTCGTAAAAATAAAGGACCGTGTGTAATATGTGGTAAAGAAAATGACAACGAAAAGTTCAGGCAGTTAACACCAAGTTTGTTTCAAAAAGCCTTAAAAAGTCCTGGATTTCAAGATTTAGACGTAAACCTTAAGTTATATGATCAGCTTTGCGGAAGACATTACAATAAATTGGTTGTATTTGATAGGAATACTTCAAAATCAAGTAGAAAACCTATGCATGAAGTTGATTTATCGTATAATGAAAGTGGGAATAAAGCAAAACGGGTTTGTTTATCACAAGAAACCTATGAAAATTTATTAAATAGTGCCTCAAGTGTACCACAACTTGAACAAGAAATATTAGAACTAAAGGAAAAAGTGAACGACTACATGTGTGATCTTGAGCAAATTAATATTTGATTATTATGCCTAACGTGTTTGATATATTTATAATTAACTAATTATATTTACCAAAAGAATCCAGACAATTCTCTGAGTATTTTAATGATCAAATGGCACGAATGACAAAAGTTCTTTATCAAGAAGGAAATTTTCCAAAGCTAAATGCTGCAGATTTTGTTAAATTAATTGAAAATCATGATCCAAATCTTCAAGGATTTTTTGACACTTTATACAATGCAATGAATCCTAAAGGAAAAAATAAGAGGACTCAGGAATGCTTAAAACAAAAAATTATGCTACTTTGCTATCAAATGGCAGGACTACGAAATAAACAAGTAAGCGGTGCAAAAACTGCAGTTGGATTGTTTTTTGTGAAGTCTGGAGCATCTGCCCATTGTGTAAATACGGCGGCTAATATGGGACTATGTGCAATATACCAAACAGCCTTTAACAAACTTGGCAAAATAGAAGAAATCATAATTTAAGTGTACGATCATATTCAAACTTTTGTAAGTTAAATTTTGATAAGTTTTATTTGTTTTGATTTTAAAATACATACTAAATCAATCTTCAGTCCAACAACCTTTTAATTGCATGTATAGATGATTATCACAATCTCCATGGAACCTGTATTCCATCGGTAAATTCTACTTCACAAATATCTCATATGGCGACTATTTTATTTAATACGACCCAAGCTCCACCTATTCCTTATTATACTGATTATCATTTAGCCATTCACAATCCCTGCGGTGTTGATGCTTCAATTTTAAGGAACGTTTGTCAAGAATTTATGCTAACATTGGCTAAAAGTTACAATTCAGAAAAATCAAGTTGGAACTGGGCATCAGACCTTGTAGTAGTAGATGAGACAGAGATTATCGAAAGGTTGACAATTCACTCATACGATTCTGACATTTCTGAAAAGTATCAACGAAAATTTAATCAAACAAAACTAGTGGATTGTATTGAATTGGATTTAAAAAATACAAAAAATTACATACAAGCCGCTAATACTTTTCTAAGGTTTGTAATTTAATATTGTTATTGGAAGGTTCATTTAATAATAAACTAATATATTGCTTCATAAGATTGCCGGAAACCAAGGAATATCTTAAAATGTTTGTCATTCCTTTTCCAGCAGATTTTCCGGGTCAGCTGTTTATAAGAAGAGCCGTTACAAAAAGATTGAAAATGGAAGCAGGAACTGAACCTGAACCCGAATTGGAATCATCCATTCCAAAGGAAATTATGCATCTAGTTCCTTTTTTAGGTCCCCTCCACGTTTCACTTAACACACGAGAATCGGTTATGATTATATTTCACTCTTTTTTTGATTATATGTACAAAATAGTCTTCAATAAAAAACAAAAACTTGCAGCAAAACCTAAGCCATGGCGCATTAATCTGCTATTATACTTGGCTCATGAAGGCCGGTTATTAATTAAAAATTGTGTATTAAAAAGATTTGCCATGTCTAAAGATATTTCGTATGTTACATTTCTTGATCTTCTAGATAATTTAGTGCCCTCAACCCTAGACATATATTCAAACTTATTTCGAAGCAATTATTTGGAAGAATATATTAGTACAATATTTCGGTTGTGGACTATTATGCGACGATTTCAGTGGCATAATTATGACAAAATTATGCTAGCTTTTTTGTCAGATATTCACTATTGGAAAAAAATAAATCACCCAATAATCCATACCTTAAAAACGCATTTAAATACTTTTGATGAATATCCTGTAGAGAATTATCATAGCATATTACGTCGTCATACAAATGCAAAAGTATCTACAGGCAAATCTTTAAGGCGAGATGCATTATTTCTTGATCATTGTCGTCATGAAAACTTATTTGTAAAATCATTTGAGCCAACACGAGATTATCCTTATACCAAAAAGGATCTTGATAATTTAGTAAAGCTGACGGCTATTTTTCACTTGGATTTTTTTGATAACTTATGGAAAAATCCTGGACGCACAGAATTAAAAAAGGAAGGAAAAAAAATAAAAAAAGATTTTTATTACTTTCCTGGTATTAAATCACAATTTTCCTCAAAAGCTTTGCCATTAGGATATCATTCAAAAAAATGGCCATCAGCTAATAAATTATGTGATCGTTTGGAATGCACAGATCCATCATGGATTGATGGTATGGTGTTAAATTGTGGACATGGGTATCATGAAACATGTTTTCGAACTTTAGGCTTAAAATGTCCACATTGTTTTAAATATCTTTCTGATTCAATTGATGAATTATCACAATCTTATAACCAAAGGTTGCAAATGGACGAAGATATTAAAAAATGGGCAGATTGTGAAAGTGAAAATCATGAATCATGACGATAATAATGAGTTAGAAAATGATGAAAATCTAAATATAAGAAAGCAAGCTGAAATAGATGAAGCATTAAAGAGAAGGATACTTGGTATGTTTAATTCATTTTTATTCAATTATAATTAAATATCTCAATTATTTACAAAATTAACAGAATTTATCGAAAATTGTGCATCGGGCTGAGTGAATTGAATAAGTTGTTACCAAATATAATTTACAAAGGATATTATCTACTAGGATGTTATAAAATGTTTTGGATATTTGTATACTATACTTTAGGTTTTAAAAACATTATCAATATATTAATAGTTATATTAATACAGTTACTAATACAATACAGAATTTTTTTTTTCGTCGCAAGACTTTGTATTACAATAAATTTATTGGTCAATAACTCAAAGTTATCACGTGTATAAACCATTTCGATTTTAGCCAATAAATTTATGTTTAATTTAATTGGTTAATTAATGTTGATCATCACGTGAAATCAAACCAATAAACAGATTTTTAACCAAGCTCGGTTATGGTGGTACGCATATTTGTAATAGTTTTGGTGTACCACTCTTCTAGTAATAAAATAAATAAAATAAATAAATGGTGGTACGCATACCCCTTAAACCTAAAATTATTTAAGTATAAAGTCCTACGTTGTATTAACTTTACGTAATAATATTGATTGTATTTTTTCTTATTGAGACGCTTCGGAAATACATGTGCAATTCATTGAGACTTTATGCATAAATGTAACAATATTTAGGTATACATTGCCTATAAATACACAACAAAATAAGTTAAAATATTCATCTCACAAATTCGCCACACGAATTCGCTAGGAAAAATTATCAAAGAATTAAAATGCAAAGAGTTCATGATTTTATCATGTTCAAGAATGGGATTAACCACAATACTATTAAGAAGAAAGCTAGTGGGATATCAAACCTTTTGAATTTTATCATTTGGAATATTATGTTCTTTTCACTATTTCCACTTGCTTCAGCATCAATTGCATCATTTGTTGACAAAAATTATGTATCACATACAGATTTGTATGATGCAATTCTCAACACATTTTTTCCAATCTTTTTTGTGATTTTTCTAAATGCTTCAGGTAAAGATGGGTCCATCAAAAATATAGTATTACCATTACTAGATGATGTATTGTATAATATGATCACTTGGGTGATTCCACTTGTAGTTTCTTTTGCCTATGATGACTTGATGAACATAAAAATATTTTCAATCATAAACATGTGTTTACATGTGTTTTGTGCAGTATTTGCAATAATTAAATGGAAAAGAATTAATTATAATGATGATTATAATGATGATTTATTTCTCTCAATTATTTTATTCTTGATAATTTTTCCAGTTCTAGTTATTCCAATATTCTGGATAATTATCATCACACATAAACATACTTTTGATTCAATTCCAATAATATTTCTTATATTATTCGGAATATGCTTAGTTTCTTTTGTGTTAATAATAATTACACTTATAACTCAAGACTTGAAAGACATGACACGGAGAATAATATATACATTATTTATTATATGTTTTTATGTTCCAAATATTCTTCAGACATTATTGATTACATTATTTTGGCCAATCAATTTTTACTTTGTTAAAGCATGCGTATTTGTACTGATTCTATCATTAACAAGAAATGTGTCCTACTTTGCTGATAAGGTACCTGGTAACTTTCTGGCTACTTCAACAACATTGACTCAATGTGGAATTAGGTCTACTCTAAAAGGAAATAAGAAAGCTATCTTAAAAGTGACACAAATATCAATAGAAGAAATGCACGAAAAGCAGGAAACAATGCAGACGAAAATTGACGAAATTGACAAGATGCAGACAACAATGCAGAAAACAACGCAGACAACAATTGATGATATGCAAAAAACAATGCAGGCTAAAATAGATGAAATACAGAAGATAATGAATGAAATAAAAACATCAGTGGAAGAGACAAAATAAAATGTAACCAAAGGAATAATGCGGAAAACTATCCTTATTAAAATTTTTAGTTTATTTATTTTTTTTTTTTTTAGTTAAATTAGTTTAAATTTAAAACAATATTTTTCACAATTAGTATCCATTAATATGTTGATTAAATATACCTTATATTATTATATTGATTTCTGACTTTCATAAATTATTTAAATAAATAAATTATTTTTTTAAAAAATCAAATAAAAGAATAATGCATTATAATTTTTTTTTAAAAAAAATGATTATAATTAAAAATTTATTTATTCCAGGGAAACACGCAATCATTTTATGTTCTAATTACTCAATCTATCAATTTTCATTTCTATTCTATACTATGATAACGTTAATAATAAATAAAAGAGCGAAAAATATATCTGCCAAAATTTCATGATTCTTTCCATATATTTCACAAAGTATTTTTTATCGGATATAAATTTAAATTTATTGATTAATTATAATAATATGATATTAATAATAAATTAATTTATTAAATAAAAGCATAAAAATAATAATAGTTCATTTAAAGATGGATAATCACTAATTTTAAAGAAATTTTAAACATTCAAAAGCAACTATTTAAATTTTTATCAAATTTATTAAAATTTTTAATATCATATATACAAAAAAAAAATAAACATGTTAAAAATATGGAAAATATTTTATTCATTTAAACTTGGAGAAAAGAATCCCAAAAAGCTTGTACAATAATGTGTTTAATATGGTCTTTAATTAATTTGACAATTAATTTTTAATTTTCTCATTTATTATTAATATATTCAAAACTAACAAAAAAATTAAGTCATGGTAAAATTAACAGGTTTTCTAATGAAAGCCTTCAATAATTCTTTAGCAAAATTGTCCAAGTTAGAAACAATATCAGCATAACTAAACTGAACTCGTATCAAAGAATATCTTGAAGCCCATAATACCACATGATACAAACCATGAGACCAAATACTTCTTCAAGATAATGTAAAAAGCTGTAGCTACAAAATTGAATTAAAAAAACATTAGTAACATTAGTAGTAAATATATAATTAAAAAAATTCAGTCACGTTTAAATTACCTTCTATATAAATAATTTGTAGTGTATCAATATAAAGGAGTGCACATTCCGATAGGCTAATCCCAATTCCGGTTAATGTATTTTGATCGGAATATTTTTTTTTTATCATTCTTTTCAATATTTTTAACCTTTTCTTTTTTCGGGTTGGTTTATTTTCAAACCTGAATATATTTTTTTCCGTTTTCTTTTTTGGTTTAATTTTTTATTAAACTGAAAAATTTTTCATTCATCATTTAGGTTTGTGCAAAACCATGGTAGGCGGCTTTTTTCCATTTCTTTATTTCTTTATTTATAAATTTCTAAAAAAAAGATCAAAAGAATTGAATGACTGCATATTAAGCTTAATGCCTTAATACCTTTTAGGATTTCAAAAAGGACTTCTCTTTGACAATATTTCAACTGTTTATACAATATATTGATTTTGCAAATAACACTCAAAATAAAAACAAAAATATAAATCGTCCAGGCATAATGTTTATAGAGTTATTATAAATTAATTAATATTTAGGTATTACTAACAGTCACCCATTGCTTCACACCGGGACCAATGAGTTTGTTTAAATAGAACAATTTAGTATTATAATGTAATACTAAGTAAATTAAATATGGTTACAGTAGTTTTTTGTTTATAATTAGAAATTTAATATGGTAATAATTAGTTAACAAAAAATAATAAAATAAATGTATTAAATTATATTAGAATGATACAAATTATATTTACAATAATGTAGCTAATTATGTTAATGATTTGACATTTAAGTGTAGAATGAAAAATTCGGATTAATTGGGAATTGTGAAAAAATAATTATAAATAAAAATTGATTAATTTTTTAGAATATTATGAAATATTACAAATATTTTTATTAATTAATTATAAATTTTATACATAATTATTTCTTAATTATTTTATATTACGTCAATTTTAAACTTATAATCAACTTAGGAAAAATATTTGAACAATTAAATGTATTAGAATTTGTTCATTTCATTTATTATTATTCAGTTCTTTTGATACTCATTTTATTCGATAAATTATTAATTTAACTAAACCATTTGAATTAAAAATTTTTATTTAAAAATCTGGTGATTATTTAGAGAATTTTGGATATGGATTTGGTTATAATAGTTTATTATTAAATCAACAATTTCTTCAATTAATTAATTATAAAAATATCAATTTTTTGATTTATATGAATTTAAAAATCAGACTATTTATTCAGCGCTCAATTTAATTGAAAATCTTAATCATCATCTTTCTATCAATGTCGGTCAATTTTCCTATATGTTATATTGATTTTTTTTTTAAAAAAAAAATAATTTTGTAAATATAATTATTTAATATAATATTTTATTTCTTTATTTAATAATAACAGATAAGAAAAAATTGAAAGAATAAGAAAAAAAATTAAACCTAAACGGGAAAAGAATGAGAAAAAAACAAATTTTTCGGTTTGAAAAAAACTAAACCAAAAGAAGAAAGGGAGAAATTTTTTTTCGGTTTGAAAAAAAAACGAAAAATTTAAAATTAATAATCAAAAAAAAATTCTGATTAAGGTAAAATTTCATTAACTGAAATTGTATTAGTTGATTAAAATGTACACGGATCGAATAAATAGATTAGGTAGAGGGTTTTAATTATATGGTATGGGATTTCAAAGTTACAATTCAAATTATATATGCAGAGACTAATCCAAACGTCAGACAAATTTTTTTTAATTATATAGTTTTTTTAGTTATATAGATTTATCAAAAAATTTATTATAGGTTTAATAATTAAAAACAATCTCGCTAAAAAAAATTCGTTAATATCGAAAAAAAAAATTTCACTCAAATTTATTAGTCAGAAATAATATTGAAAAAAAACAATCTCAATAAACAAAAAAAGTTCTCACTAAATCAAAAAATTCTCACTAAAAAAAAAATTTCACACGAATTTATTAGTCAGAAACAATATCAATGACTAAAAAATCTCTCTAAATATAGAAAAAGCCGTAGGACATAGTTCTAATCTGATTGATCTGATTATAGTCTTGACCCAAACCAAAAAAAAAAAAAGAATAAACAATATTTTTTTGGGTTAAAAAAAAATTCCAAAAATTTTGATAAATTCCGATTAAAAAAAAATCCCTAAAAAAAATCCAAAAAAAGAATAAGAAAAAATTTTGGTTAACCAAAAGAAACAATAATAATAAAAAGAGGGATAAAAAAATCAATAAAAAAAAAAGACTAAAAAGGTAGTTTCGGTTTTTACTGAAAAACAAAAAAAATTATTATTATAGAAATGGTTAGTCGTGGTAACTAAGAGAGCGGAAATGACCACAAATAAAATGCAATTAATAAGAAAAATTATACTTTTTTTTTGTTAGTATTAATTCATCAGAATAAAGAAAAGTCCAGTTAAAATTTTTATTAACCGGAAATGTATTAGTTTAAAGATTGGTTATCGTAGTCAGTAATAAATACGAAATAGATCGAACGTAAGAATATCACACTTTCAATATTACACAATTCAAATTATTTATACAGGGTAATCTAAATATGACGATATTTTAATTAGATAGATTTTTATTTTATCTGTATAATAATGTTCATATTATTTCTGAACTCATCAAAAAAAGATAATTTGCGTAGGGCTTTTATATATTCATTTATACATATTTTATGTATAAATGATTTTGAGGCTAAAGTATGTACAGTATATTTTCAATATGGAAATTAAATTTTATTCTAAATAGCTGCATTTTCAATAATGAATTTGGATCTTATCCATTGAGTATCGATAATTTTTATTATTGATGATATCACAATTATGATAAATCTAGAGAACCGACACCAAGGAAGAGAGAAAAAATGAGATGTAATCAACTAGTTAGTAAGCGAACAAATGTTATATAAAAGGAGTTCAAACATAAACTAATAGTCCGCATTTTTCTTTTATCTAATGATACTACACGTAAATACTGTCAGATGCAGAACGATACATATTATTAAGGGTCCGTTATTGTTTTTGTAGTGTGGGAATTTGAATTATTCACGCGCCAGAGTCGGCGGATAGATGACTGTGTCTACCGATTCAGCGGCAGAGATATCAGATATATCACTCATGGTGGTATTAGAATCGTTGTCCGGAGGAGGTGTGCGTCTTAAAAATACGTCCGGGCGTTGATGATCGCTTGATCTTTTTTGGAGATAACATATTTAGTGTGAGCGCTTGCTTTTGTAACGTCTTATATGATAAGTAGCGGTTGTTGTTGTAAATAGCGTCGTCGCATATTGATTGCTCGTCTATATCCGTAACTGTATCGTAGGATGAAACGTCGTCTAACCTTGTATTCAAAAAGATTAATGTTATAAGTGTCACGATGGTAGATTCGTAGGTCGCCAGGTGTACCTCGTGGTACTGGAGGAAGAAGTTACTTTTTCTTGTTACGTTTTCTTTCTATTACGTCTTATCCAATTCTTTTCACGCCGTCTTTCTTTGATGTCATTAGCAAAGGTGCTTTCTCCAATCTGAACGTAAAAGTTTCTGAGTTTTAAAAGCTTGCGTGGGACATGGTGCATTTGTTTGATGACTATAGGTTGGGCACTTCCGAAGTACGTGTATGTAAAATAAAAGGTTTGTTGGTGTTGGTATTAGATTCGTGTTTAATAATACTTTTTGTTAAACGGTTCCATCGGGTGGTCTATCGGGTAAAACGTATGGCGTTGAAACGCAGATGGGAATATTCTTTGTAGTAAACGCGTCTAGTTCGTACGTGTTCATTGTGGTTAAAAATGTTCATGTGACGGTTGTTGGTGTCTTTATGTTGTGTCTGCTCGTATTTTTTGATGTTCACAGTGTAACTAATTCCTAAGCGATTGGAGTAAATGTCTTTTTTCTTGTCTTTATAAAGTAAATGTCTAGTGGTCGATACATTCAGTTTTTCAGTTGATTCGGCATATTGGAGTTGAGTTGTTTCGTTACTTGTCGTTACTTGATCTTTATAAAAGCGTGCATCACTGGCCATACTCGAACCAATGAGTTTTAATGTTTTGGAATTATTTATATGTTCTCCACATCTTTAACGGCCGTTTGACATGACGAAGGTGACGGGTAGTTCACATTTTATGCCGCAGCGAAAATAAAATCTAAATAAATCACGTGGGACCGGAACTGAACCGGATGAATATTTTTGTGCGTCTATTACTTATCGCATTTGATGAAAATCTTTGTTTGAGAGCAAAAAATTTTTCTTTGAGTAACTCCCGTAATCGTTTAAAATATTTGGAAACGATTTGTGGTGAAAATTGTCGATTTAGGGAAAATACGTAAGTGAGATAATATGTCCCTATGAAGAAATTCATATTGGGTTTGTTACTTGTTGATCGGTATGTGTGGACATGCAGGTGACTATCGTGTATACTTTAAAATTATTGTAGATCGTCAAGGTAAATCATATTTTGACAAAGAGAGTAGGAAATATCTGTCTTTTTGGGTATGATACAGCGTGCCACTCCCGTTTTGTAAGGGCAGGTTTTCTGTGGCGGAGGAAAATTATACGTTTCGCAAGACGAAAAACAGCTTAGCAGGTCAGTATTAGGAGCGAGGGTGTCTTTAGTCATGATATATTTTTGAGGAGACTTCGTATATCTGTTGGGGAAGAAAAGGTGGTACTGTGGCGTCAGACCAGGTGGAGATACATTCTGCCGGAATTATTTTAATTTCACATTTGAACAATTTTCACTACTGCTAGAAAGCCATGTGATCATGTAATATTTCTTGCAAAATATAAAAGTTTGGAAATGAAAAGCTATAATAAACTTTATTTTGTTATATTTAGTTATGATATTAAGCATTTAAATGACTTATGTGTATATGCATGCAACGATACATAGAATGAAAACCCTAACACAAAAACATATTTTGTTTATTGTACATGATACATTAAGAAATATTTAGCCTACGAGGCGTAACATGTACTACATGCAAAATGATCGTCACAAGAGAAACTCTCTATGCTATTGCATTTAATTGTGAGACTGTATTTATATGCATGTGTGTAATGATAGTACAGACAGTACACTTTGTATATAAATACGCTATAAACAAATTTCATATTAATTCCACATATTTTGCTATACTAATTTGCAAAACGCACGAATTCGTTATGAACAATTATCGAGAAATTAAAAAGCAAAACTTTTATGACTCCATTTTTGAATTCATCATTTTCAGGAATAGGATTAAACACCATATTATTAAAAGGAAAACTAATGGGATATCAAACTTTTCGAATTTTATCATTTGGAATATTGTGTTCTTTTCGTTCATTCCACTTGCTTCAGCATCAATTGCACCATTTGTTGACATAGATTATAAATCACAAGAAGATTTGTATGATGCAATCCTTAACACATTATTTCCAATCCTTTTTGTGATTTTTCTCAATGTTTCAGGAAATACTGGGTCTATCAAAAATATAGTATTACCATTACTAGATGATATATTATATAATATGATTACTTGGATGATTCCATTGATAGTTTCTTTTGCCTATGATGACTTGATGAAAATAAAGTTATTTTCAATCGCAAACATGTTTTTACATGTAATTTGTGCAGTACTTGCAATAATTAGAGCGAAAAGAGTTGAAATGGCTGTTAATAACGATCTTTTGAATTTCTTTCGTTCTATCGCTTTAGTCTTGATAATTAATCCAGTTCTAGTTATTCCAATATTTTGGATAAATATCATCACGCATACTAGTCATACTATCGATTCAACTTCTATAATATTTCTTACGTTATTCGGAATATGCTTAATTTCTTTTGTGTTATTACTTACTTTAATATTATTATTGTCATTTGGTAACAATATTATTGAAAAGGAAATAACAAAAATAATTTGCATATTATGTATTATATGTTTTTATGTTCCAAATATTCTTCAAACATTATTTATTGCATTAAGCTGGCCAATCAATTTTTATTTCGTCAAAGCATGCGTGTTTATACTGATTCTATCTTTAACAAGAAATGTGTCCTACTTTACTGATAGGGTGCCAAAAGACTTTCTGGCTACTTCAACAACAATGACTCAATATATACTCAGTTTCAGTATTGCAAGAGAAATGCAAAACATCTTTAGGGGGATACAAATGTCAATGGAAGAAATGCACGAAAAGCAGGAAGAAATGCACAAAATACAGAAAACAATGCAAGCGGAAATTGACGAGATGCAGACAACAATGCAGATAAAAATTAACGAGATGCAGACAACGATGCAGACGAAAATTGATGAGATGCAGACAACAATGCAGACGAAAATTGATGAAATACAGAAGTCAATAAACGAAAATAAAAACATAAATGGATGAGACAAAAAAAGGCAAGGATGATAACTGAATACAGCAGAAGCTTACTTACTATTCCTATATATATATTTTTTTTCAGTCAAAATGGTTTTATTTTAAACAAAGTATTTTCTGCACTTATCCATTAATATGTGATTACAAACCTTGGAATATTATTGTATATTGATTTTCTGATTTTCATACGTTATTTAAATAATAAAAAAAAAAATTTTTTCCTATCTTAAAATTTAACTCTGATGATCCCAGCTAACGTGAAAATTTAAAAACAGATTTCAGATAATTATATACTTCAAATATAAATTAATTTCCATTAAATTTAAATGGGTGTTCGTATATATAAAATTACAGCAGTAAATACTGTACCATCATGCAACCGATTTGCGCAACAGAAGCTACTGTCGATAGGTTAAATACGAAATAAATTAAATGTAAAATGCACTATAATTTTAAAATAGATTATACTAATTAAAATTTATTATTATGAAAAACGCGCAATCATTTTATATCCTACTAATTACTAGAAAACTCAATTATTAACTTTCATTTCCGTTCTATTCTAACGTTGATGATACATGAAAGAGAAATATTTTTGCTAGAATTTATACAATTCCATATCCTACATTTCCGCTTCCCTGTAAGTAAAAACTCCGTGAATATGATGTATTTACGGAAAAATAACTAAAAATCTAAGCAACTTGGATAATTTCTATGTTTTGAAGCTAAAAATTCCGTGAACATGATACATTTACGGAAATAACATGGAATAACAAACGAGGAATCAATTTTTTATAAGAGTACCATTTGCATGTATACACTTTAATCATAATAAGAAAATTATATTATGTGCGTTATATAAGCTTAATATATATTTTTTCTTTCAATAAAATAAGTTCTGCCGGAATTATCTTTATTTCAAATTTTGAACAATTTTCACTGTTCTGGAAAGTCATGTGATATTTCTTGACTTTTTTACAAAAAAAGCAATTTTTTTTGTATCCACGGCAACAGGACCCCAAACAATACTAATATAGGTAGGAGCTGAAGATGCTTAATAGCTCTCAATATGTTAGAATTTGGGAATGCGTACAATCATCAAAAAATTTTGATAAGGTTAGAATTTGATTTTGCGTAATTTTGATTGGATTTTAGGATAGTAAGATGTTGAATTTGCTTATTTTTGGTACATTTTTGGAAATAAGTAATAATAATTTAATATTTTTAATTTTACTAGTGTTCACCTGTTGTCTATGACAACAGTTAATATGTAATTCCGGCCAGAATTAAAAGATCTGCAAAGAATTTCCTTTTTTTTGGAAATTTGAGCAACACAATTTTTTTAATTTCTCTGAAAAGTAACAGAAGACAAAATTTCCTTTTTTGGAAATTTGCGTAACCGACAATTTCCTTTTATGGAATCCTGTATAACCCAAAATTTCAGTTTTTCGCCAGAAATAAAATTTCCTTTTTTGGTCTTGTGTAACATTGGCGACGAATAGGAGTAGGGTTACACAATTCAAATGACTTATTTATATGGTTAATCTAAACATAACGCCCACGTGATTGCAGTGTTTTTTAATATATATATGGTGCGTCTCACCTATAAACCACAAAGTCCGAAATTTCAAAAACGTAGATTTCACGTGACTTAGCGTGATATCATGTGACTTCGTCATATGATTACGAATCGAGTTTCAAAACAAATTGCAATCGCGCAGTTTATTCAACTTTATTTAACTCAACTAAAACATAATCTGGAATACAACGGTGGGATTTATACTTTTTGGCTGCATATTCAGCCAATTTACCTGTTATTCCATTTCTATATAAATCCATATAACGCCACGCCTTCCTTGCAAATTTTCTTATCATAATCGTATCGACAGACTCTAAAGCTACAGGAACAACACGTTGCAAGCTTGACCACGAATAGTCACAGTTTTCGCGAGCATATCTTTTCGCTGCCCCCCAATATCTATCAATAAAGTTAAGTTCACAATGGAACTTTGGGTAGAAAATACACAAGTGCCCAGCTTCTAGTATTGCTTCCTCTAACGCACTTTTTTGTGCCAAAAAATCAGGTTGCAATGAAATAATCAGGCGTGCACAACAATCAATCCGTGTTATATCATCCACCTTATCTTTACACAACTGACAGTCAGCATTAAGGCCATTTTTCAATAAGCCACGTTCAATTAAAACTTGTTTCATCCCTTTGGGTTCCCCATTTTCGTTTACCATTGATTGGTACTGATTGTTTAATCCAAAAACCGTGTTCCTCATTTTTGGCTGTTTTCCGCCCGGTTTTAAGTTCATTTTACTAGCTACAAGAGCATCATGCCTAAATGCTGCGTGGTTCGAACTATTATCAAATGCAAACAATCCAATACAATTAGGAAAAAGAGTTTAGAAAATAGGGATTGCTTTTGTCTTTACTTGATCGATTAGGTGTTCACTTGTCCAATATCCTTCTCGATCTTTGCCTGGCTAAAGATAAGTGCGCGCTTCTTGAGGTATGGAAGAGTTTTCTTGATGCTGTTGTGCATTTAATTTAAGACGGCCACATTCTTCTGACAAAAATTCGCTAACCATTATCGAACGTCCATTTCCCTTTTTACGCAATGGCAATTCTCCTGTTTTTGTCCATACACCTCGTTTCCCATCATTAGAGTAAAATATACACTCATCATGTGTTACAAGGATTATCTCTTTATTATTAGATTATAACATTGGTGGTATTCGTTCCATAGTTTCACCTTCATACTTAGCCATGTACCTTTCATAACTATAAATTTTATCCAGAAATAACTTTCGATATTCAACAACATCAGGACGTTCATGACCATCATAGTATGTACCTTAATATAAATAATGTGTGATTGTTTTTTTTGTATAATACTGTATTAACGAATTCTTACCTTGTTTTTGTGATTGAAAGCTATAGCCAAGTACATTTAACCATCGAGTTGAAGTTGCTTTGGCGATAGTTTTCTTTTTAGTTATTCCAGAATTAATGAGCAATTTTTGCTCAACAAATTCCTTAAACTTCAATGGGGTGGTTGTTCAGCCTTGAGATCGAATCCATGTGTGACATTTCACTACTATATCCTCATCATCTATTAATCGTATTGTTTTTTGATGTTTACCTTGACGACTCATTGGAAGGTGATTATTCTGAAGCCAAAAATTCACCCAATATTGAATTGATCTTGCTCTGTTTGGTGCACAATCTATAAAAATCAACTGCGCAGCTTCTTTGCTAGCTTTCATCTTCCCCTTTCCATTTTCATCTAATCTCTTTAAATACTAATATATTGCGCATTTTTTATTATATTCAGTTACTGTTAAAATCTTTTGCTGTTCTCCAAGTTAAGTCTTTAGATTTTTGATTCTTTCATCTATATTGAGTTGATTCTGTTCCTCTTCATCCAAATCATCCAAAACTTCTACAAAATCATCCGGAATTGTCTGATTTCTATTCATGAAAGTTGAAATTTTCATGGTTCTTTTTGCAGCTTTTGTAAAGGAACCACTTGGTCCATACTTGTCAAAATATGTTGATTTTTTTATTTTTCCGGTAAGATATGGTCCACGTTTTTTTTGTTCCAAGTGTGTGTTATCTGACCAAGTCAACTCAAGAGCTTTTTTTTCGTTTAATAAACTAACTTCATCATCATCCCACCCACTATCATTTTCGTCTCCCCATTCATCCAATTCATCAGATATCCTTGATTTTTTTGTAAACGTTCCATAGTTGTTTCTTTCTTGCTCTTTAGCATTGGATTTTAGCTTTGATGGACGAGTCATTGATTAATGTGTGAGAAATTAATTGAAATCGGTAATTTTCATATGAAATTCACGTAACATTAGGTTGGATATATACTGATCTTGTAACGATATATTCCGATCTATGAAATTCACATGATGATATATCCCCGATATCAGTCCGAAATTTTCCTTTTTTCATATAGATCATATAAATTATTCTTGAACTTTCGAACTTAATAAAATTAAATTTTTCTAATAAATCTTAAAAAGTAAACCGTTAGAAATGTTTAGCTTATGCTATTATATTATTTTATCGGTTTCAATTTGTATTTTATTACTTAATACCTGACTTATAAAAATTTAAAGTCACATGATATTTTTGTGGTTTATAGGTGAGACGCACCATAGAAGATAGAAGATGATTTAACGATCATATCAATGTATAGATCTCTGATCACTCCTCTTTATGAAAATAATAAATAAATAAATAAATATTTAACGATCATCTTAAAATAAATTTTTTTTTTTCGAAAAAAAATCATTTCTGTATTGCATACATAATGTTTCATTGGAAATATGGTAAAGAGTGATTGGCTAACATAAATACGTTACTCATATTATTAATGCAAAAAAAGTAGTATGTATATGTGGGAAAGGAATCAAATTAAACTACAGGTATGAAGAAGATTATTTAAATAGACATGTAGCATGTTCAGGATGTAAAGCAGACGAAGACAGAGAACAATTTGATACAACTAATAAAAGAGCCAATTAAAATTTTAAAAACTGTTAGAGGATTAAAATGCGTATTTTGTAAAAATTTCAGGGTTAGGAGCTATAAATGCGTACTGATCATAGTCAAAAGTGCTGCGTACAGCTAATAGTAAATTTTTTTTTCTGGACCTTACCTATATCAGTATTGTTCAGGGTCCTACGGCAACTGTGCATGTGGTAATTTTTAAAATGGAATGGGCGAAAATCTGGCCAAAATGAAATGATTGACTAAAATCATTTCCTTTTAAAGAAAAAAAATCGCCTATCTTTGTGTTATCCTGAATGATCATCCAAATCAACGGAATTAATTTAATTAAACTCTAAGCCTTACGAGGCGTAGCATGTACCATAGGTACAATACATTTTACCAAACAAATTCTCTTTACAAAATCACTATGAACAATTATCAAGAATTATTTTTTCTGATTAATCAAACAAGGCAAAGATTTCATGATTACATTTTTGGATCCATTATTTTCAGGAATGGGATTAAACAACATATTATTAAAAGGAAAACTTATGGGATATTAAACTTTTCGAATTTTATCATTTGGAATATTGTGTTCTTTTCGTTTATTCCACTTGCTTCAGCATCAATTGCATCATTTGTTAACATAGATTATAATTCACAAGAAGATTTGTATGATGCCATTCTTAACACATTTTTTCCAATCCTTTTTGTGATTTTTCTCAGTGTTTCAGGAAAAACTGGGTCTATCAAAAATATAATATTACCATTACTAGATGATGTATTATATAATTTGATTACTTGGATGATTCCATTGATAGTTTCTTTTGCCTATGATGACTTGATGAACATAAAGATATTTTCAATCATAAACATGTGTTTACATGTAATTTGCGCAGTACTTGCAATAGTTAGAGTGAAAAAAGTTGAAGAGGTTTTGATAACGATGGTTATTTTAGTTCGGATTTATTTCTTTTTATCATTGCTTTCTTGATATTTTTCCAGTTCTAGTTATTCCAATATTTTGGATAATTATCATCGCGCATAGTCATAGTACTATCGATTCAACTTCTATAATATTTATTACATTATTCGGAATATGCTTAATTTCTTTTATGTCAATATTTATTTTAATATTTATTGAGCACAATTTTAAATATGAAAGAGGGGACAAAACATTTTACATATTGTATATTATAAGTTTTTATGTTCCAAATATTCTACAAACATTATTGATTGCATTAAGCTGGCCAATCAATTTTTATTTCATCAAAGCATGCGTGTTTATACTGATTCTATCTTTAACAAGAAATGTGTCCTACTTTACTGATAGGGTGCCAAAAGACTTTCTGGCTACTTCAACAACAATGACTCAATGTATACTAATCAGTATCCGTATTACAGGAGACATGCAAAACATCTTTAGGAGGGCACAAATGTCAATAGAAGAAATGCACGAAAAGCAGGAAGAAATACACAAAATACAGAAAACAATGCAAGTGGAAATTGACGAAATGCAGACAACAATGCAGACGAAAATTGATGAGATGCAGATATCAATGCAGATGACAATGCAGACGAAAATTGACGAGATGCAGACAACAATGCAGACGAAAATTGATGAAATACAGAAGACAATAAACGAAAATAAAACATAAATGGATGAGTCAAAAAAAGGCAAGGATGATAACTGAATACAGCAGAAGCTTACTATTTCTATATATATATTTTTTTCAGTCAAAATGGTTTTATTTTAAACAATATTTTTTGCACTTATCCATTAATATGTGATTACAAACCTTAGAATATTATTGTATATTGATTTTCTGATTATATACTGACGTTATTTAAATAAAAAAAAATAATTTTTTCCATCTTAAAATTTAACTCTGATGATCTCAGCCAACGTGAAAATTTAATAACAAATTTCAGATAATTATATAGTACTTCAAATATAAATTAATTTAATTTCCATTAAATTTAAATGGATATTAGTGCATATAAATTTAAATACTGTACCTCGTAAAGTAAAACCAGTTCAAGTGGCCAAACGACCAAGCGTATTAGATTTGTACAACAGACCGCATTGGTATTCTATAGATTAAATAATACTTGAATCAAACGAAATAAATTAAACTAATGTATAATGCGCTATAATTGATAAAAAGATTACAATTAAATTTATTTATTAGTACATAGAATACACATAATCATTTTTACTAAATCTGTCAATTTTCATTTCTGTTCTAATATAACGCTAATGATACACGAAAGAGAAAAATATTGCTAGACTTTATACAATTCCATATCCTACTGTACATTCTCGCATATTTTATAGAATATATATTTATTGATTTATAAATGTATGGTATTAACAACTGAACAAATTAATTTATTAAGCAAAAGCATAGAAATGGTAGGTTATTTAAAGGTGGGATAATCGCTAATATCTATGTTAAGGAATTCTGAAAATATAATTTACAATTTTACATTCAAAATAAAACGTTTTAAATTTATCAAATTTATCAAATTTATTAAATGTTATATAATACAATAAAATAAGTATGATAGATTTTATTTATTTAATAATATAATACAAAAAAAAAACATAATTTATTATTGTTTTTTTTTTAATTTTTTAATTTTTTAATTTCATCTGCACTCCTATAAAATAAATTTTTTATATTTTTAAAAATTCCTTCCCCAGTTTTATAATTTTCAGCAATTTCGTTAGGATTAAGCTTGATTAAAGGTTCACCAAATTCTGCTATAAACTCATGAAAGCTAAGCTTTTCAAATTCACTCATTCCATCAATAAAAGTATTGACTAAACTTGTAGATTTTCCTCCAGCCTTTTCTCTAATTTCACCTTTTTCATCATTATCAAGATCAAAACAATCTAACACAGCCCCTAACATATTTGAATATCCTTCACTATATAATTCTTTATACAATTCAGTAGCTTTATCATAACTTTGTATTGTACCTTCTCCTTTTTTATATAATGCAGCAAGATTACGTTTAGCTACCTTATGACCTAAATCTGATGCTTCTTTAAGTAATTCAAATGCTTTCTTCTTGTCAACATTAGTTCCAATTCCAATTTTATAACATATTCCCAACAGATTCATTCCATTTAAATTTTTTCCTTCAGCTGACTTTTTAGCCAATTCAAATACTTTATCATCATCTTTATCAACACTATCATCAACTCTATACATTTTACCAAGTCTATATTGAGCTTCATGATGTCCTAAATTTGCTGCTTCTTCAAATAATTTAAATGCTTTTTCCTTATCAATGCTAGTTCCGATTCCAACGTAATAACATTCCCCTAACATATTTATTCCATTTAAATAACCCCCTTTAGCTGATTTTTTAAGTAATTGAACAATTTCTTGATTATCTCGATAAATATCTTTTCCTTCTTTATACATACAAGCAAGATTATACTGAGCCACGCTATGATCAAGGTTTGCCGCTCTTTTATATAACTCAACAGCTTTTTTCTTATTGACGCTAGTTCCAATTCCTAAATAATTAAAGATTCCAAGTAAAGAAATATGATTTGAATCATTTTGATTATCTAATAACCAATTATGAATTTCTTTTGGATCGATATCATTTTTTTTACAATGATCATAAATAATAGAATCTTTCAACTCTTTCTTTTCATCAAAAATAATCTCATTTAATTTATCTACTACTTTATTTATTAATTCTTTCTTTTCATGTTCAAAATATTCCACTACTTCATTTGTAATTAATTTACTTAAACCAATACTAGAAGCGTTAGAAGAAGTTTCATCAATATTTGAATGTGATTCATTTACAATATTATATAAACCATTTTCGTTAATTTCGTCAATCGAAGACATAATTTCTTTTAATTGATCAACTACTTCATTCATGTTTGGACGCAAAGTTGGTTCTCCATCCCAACATCCTAAAAAAAAAAGGTATTAGATTGAATAATAATAATACAAATTATAAAAATACAGTATATAAATTTCCCGTATATATTTACTTGTATAGAGCTTAACATAAGCATTAGGTGTACCAGGAATAGGATTTTCTCTAGAACCTTTCGCAATGCCACAAATCAAACCAATATCATATGCTACACTTTCACCATAAAAAGGTTGTTTACCACTGGATATCTCCCATAACAATACTCCAATACTGTAAACATCGCTCATTTCATTTAACTTATATTTTCGATCGGTTATTTTCTTTGGATCAATATAAGGAATAATACCAAATATTTTTGAATATTGTTTATCATTTGATGTTTCTTCAATCCTCTTTGATAATCCAAAGTCAGCCAATTTGACGGTATCTTGATGAACCAAAATATTTTTGGAATGCTATTATAAATTTTTGTATAAAATGATAATCTTATTAATATTTTAAACGTAATAGAAGAAATGAAAAGATTAAAAATTTACCAAATCCCGATGTACAATCCCTTCATCATGTAAGCATAAGATGGCACAAGCCAATTGATGAGCGATATCTAATTTTTTTATCCAAGTAAGCTCACTAATATTATTCTTCAAATAATCTTGAAGCGTACCACTATCAGCAAATTCCATTACCAATAAATAATTATTCAATATATCATTTGAATTATCTGATATATAAATATATAAAAAAAAAAAAAATTTTCGATAAATTTGTGAATTATGAAATAATAAATTACAAAATATACGATTATTATTATTTTTACAATACCTGGTTCATATTTTGTAATTCCAAAGAAACGAATAACATTATTATGAAAATCAACTTCACGTTGAAGCATTAACTAAACAATTTAAGAATAATGAAATTATAATAAATATAAATAAAGAATTAAGAAATATATATACTGTATATATATATACGTTTTTGTCCTATAAAAAAAAAACATTTTATTTATTTTACCTCACGTTTAATCTCTTCAACCGTAACGTTATCAAGTTTAAAAAAAGATTTTAAAGCCATATATTGTTCTGTCTTTTTCCAATTTGCCCGAAAAACTTTTCCGAATCCACCGGAACCAATTTCTTGTATATTATTAAAATTTTTGAAATCATAATATTTAAAATAATTTTTTTTGATAGCTTCTTCAATCCATTCATTATTAGTACTAGTCGAATTATCAATATCAGAATTATCAGACATGATGATTAAATAATATGACGATTTTTATTTTGATAAAATGACTACGTATTTTTTCGAAAAAAACAAAATAAAAAAAAAAAATTATTTTTTTTTTTTTTTTAAATCGGGGTTTTTGAGTTTTCATTAAATAATTCCGGACCCATTTTTGCCTATTATTGCAACAAATCGATCATCTGACCTTACTCGCCATTTCTAAAAAAGTAAGAGCAACAAGTTTACCAATCTTGATGAACCGGGAATTTACAGTAACTATATTTTACCTAAAAATTCCTGGTGCAACACGTGATGATCAGATGGTATGATCTGAATGATACAGTAGTTATTTATATACCAAAAAGCTATTTAATGCAAGAAAACCTTAACGTTGAATTTTTCGTATTATAATAACTCTTAACGAAATTTGATACGATCAAATTTCTTATTAGTTTATGATTTAAAATACATTATTAAATACTCAAATTTCAATACCGAGAATAATTTACTTCGCTCAAAATGTCAATTTTTTTTCCTGGCTATAAATAATTTTGGCAATCATTTTTTGGAGGTCTAAAATTTAATGTTCACTTTTAATACATGATTACTAGCAATTGTAGAATGAAGTTTGTAAAGTAGAATCAACAAAAGCAAAGTGCTAGAATAAAATTTTTTATTATCATGAGAATTTTAAGAGATATTAAGTCTAAATTTAATTTGAAATTTTGAAATATAGATACAAATTATTATTTTTAAATTACTTTTGTGAAAATTTTATTCCTCAAGTTCTATTATTTTGAACTTTAAACAATTTTTAACAATAACGACGTCTTTATTAAAATTACAATCGCATAATTTAACTATTTCTTTGTAACTTTTTGATATAAAGAACTCCCACGGTTTGAAGCTTTGGATTGTTTTAAAAATAAATAGAACGTAAAGCTGCAGAAGCTGCATAACTGCCGATCATTTAACGCAGTTTTTAAATTTGGCCAGTCCACCACCTCCTTCGGATACTGATGGCGACATAGATAATAAAACTGTAAATTAAAAACTATAATTGTATTCTATAAGATTCTTTCTATTAAATATACAATAAAATTATAAATTATTTTGTGAAAATGGATCGAATTAATAAATGGTAAGTACAACTAGAAACGTGCACGTCAAAAGAGACTAGTGGGAATCGTCACCATAAAATAATTAGTTAACAAACAAACATACATAATTATTTAAATAATCATTCATAACTTTACTTATTGTTAAATAAATTAAAGAAAATAATCAATAAATATAAATGAAAAAATGAGTAATTCGATCAAATCAATTAAAATAATATTTCAGATTTAATCCTCCATACAAAGAATTAAAATACTGTATATTAAACATATTCTCCGATACTTCTCCGATGAATTTGTAAATTGGTAACTAATACTTTCTATTCAAGCAAAGTTCTCATCGGGTTTTACTCAAGTATTTATAACTTTATTATTTTAAGAAAATGACCGATGAAAGTACTTGGGATGAAAAGAAATTATTAATTATAAGGATCGTCATATAATTAATGTTTCAAGTTGAAAGATATTCAGCGTTGCTGATAGAGTATTTTAAAAATGTGATTGTTTACTAAATTATTTAACATATCCGCATTGAAACGATAAAAAATTTAAAACCTATTATGAAAAATGATTGGATATGCAATACTATCGCGTGAAAATATCTGTACAAGGCGTACTAAGCGCACGCGAAATTTTCAAAAAAAAAAAAATAGCATCATATTATTTAATCTAAACAAAATTATTTACAATTAAAAACTCCATTTGAGTAGAATCTAAGAATAGTATTTTAAAAATAAATTTAGTTATTAATTTTTTAATATATTATTTACTTTTTTAAAAAAAAAATCTTTTTTTTTGTAACTTATGATTCGAAACGATACCAAAATAAAAGCTTTAACTAAGGTAATTTTGATGATATTAAAATAAAAAATTATTATTGATAGTTAAAAAGGTAACATACTCTCAGTATCCTCTCAGATTTTTTGAATAATAAAATTTCCCTAACTTTAAAATAAATAATGATAAAAATTTGTTATTACTTAAAATCTTTAAATTATGATTGATATAAAATAAATAAACATAGAATCATACCAAATTTTGCTAAGCTTTTACAATTTTTTAAACTTTAATATATGCTAAAGCTTTTAAAAACAAATAAAAATAGTTAAATTTTATATTTAATATCTGATATACAAATAACGTGTTATATATTTGTATTTATGAAGTAAAAGTTCCAAAGTTCCGGATGATCATGTAACGGCGTTGTAACGCAATTGAAATTAGGGGGGTTGTGGAACAAATATGTTGTAACGTAATATTTGTTATACAATAATGTAACTGGACAAAATTATGGGGGATTATTCGATTTTCACGTTGAGATGAATGAGATGTGCCAAAATGGATATTTAACGGATATTAATTTCCGGATTATCCATTACTTGGCGTATTTATGTGTTTATTTAAATATAGTTTTTACGCTTCAATTATTCCATTACATTCATAAGGAAATCTGAAATCTTGTAATTAATTAGTAACAAAGAAAATCATCAAATATTATTAAACGAGATTATTATAACAGATTATTAATTTATGATGTCACAAGAAACTGGAAAACTGTCTCAATCAATGCCACCACTAAAAGGTAGTTTATGGCTCTGGAGAGATATATATAAAAAAAATCCTGAAGACATTTGGAATGTAAATCGACCTCGCGATAAATGTTTCATATGTAATAATAGATACCCTGAAAAACTTAAGACCACTCCTACGACATACGATTGTGAAAAATGCTTTCAGATGATTATTGAAGAAGATTTTAAAAATTGGACAAGCGGCAATCAAGAACTTGACAGGGTTATTAGACAATCTCAACTTAATGCCAAAAAATCGAATAATGTTTTCCTTCAAGTTTTTCCTTTTAAATTTGGACAACTAGAAAAGATTGGAAGGGGCGGTTTCTCAACCATTTATTTAGGAGATTTGCCAATATCTCGATATTCTAATATTTGGGAACAACCAGAGGTGATCGGAATGAGCACAACCAGGTATTTAGAACAAATTAAACATTTAGCAAAACATCGATATGATTGGGAAAGCGATAAGCGTGCAGTTCTCAAGTCTTTTTCGAAATCAAACTCGAATATTATAACAAATTTGGTCAAAGAGGTATTTTATTTTATGTTGTACACTAAAAGCTATGAATTTATTCTAATCAAAAGTTTTAATGTCTAGCTTGAGGTAAACTCTAAACTTCATGGCGATTTTATTACAAAATGTTATGGGGTTACGCAAAATCCAGATGATGGACAATACATGATTGTGATGGAATATGCGGCCCATGGTGATTTACGTCGATATTTACAAGATCCAGAGACGTTAATTAATTGGAAATATATAATTTGTCTTTCTCGATGGATCATAGGATCACTATGCAAAATGCATGAGTGTGGGTTTATTCATAAAGATTTTCATACTGGAAACGTACTTATTAATCATGCAAGAAGACCACTAATTGCAGATATGGGGCTTACTACTTTGGAATCAGACGATGTAATCGGTGTCATGCCATATATTGCTCCAGAAGTTTTTTGTCTTAAGTCATATACTCAAGCAGCAGATATATATAGTTTTGCCATGATTATGTGGGAATTCTCATCACAACAACCACCGTTTGGCAAACTAGTACATGATCACAATTTGGTAATAGAAGTTTGTATAAAGCACCGGCGACCTACTATTGCAAAGGCAACACCCCAGTGTTGGATTGATCTTATGCAACAATGCTGGGATTCTGTTCCAGAAAAACGCCCAACTGCAATGCAAGTGTTTCAAAAACTTGATAAATGGTATCAGGATACTCAAAACAATATATGGTCAGAAGATATAAAACAATTTCTTTTATGTGATGAGGAACGATATAAATTTCGTAGCATGTCAAAAGAGAAAATTGAAGAACATTATTCTACGCATCCACAAGCAATTTATAAAAGTCGATCTATGTCTCATTATATTAGTCTTATGCAATCTTGTCAAATTGATTTGAATGAAAAAGCCAACGAAAAATCAATTAATACTCCCTTGAATTCTTCAAAAAAAAGATTATATTCAAATATCGGGTTGAAGGAAAACGAAACTGGCATAACGCAACAGATTATCGATATTTCACTCACTAATAATTCATCAAAGAAAGAATTATACTCAATACAAGAAAGATCTGAGCTGGAAGCAAACGAAATTAGTATGACGCAACAGATTGATATTTCACTTATTCCTAATTTACCAAAAAAAAAATTATGTTCGATACAAGAAAAATATGAGCAGGATTCAAACGAAACTGACATAACGCGACAAACCAATGACATTTCACCCAGTCTTCATTTATCGAAAAAAAGATTATACATGGAGATACAAGAGGTGGAGGATGATCATAATGAAGAAAAATTTGAATCGGAAATGAGTGAAACTGGTATAACGCAACATATTGATTTAGTTTCGCTTAGTTCTTCTTCATATAAAAAGGTTCGCCGCACATAATACTTAATGTATTTATTTATTTACTTTTCGATTTAATAGTTCGTATTTCAAAAAGTATTGAAAATAGCAATGATTCATATTAAGGTTTAGATTCATAAGAGTGTATATTAATAATGACTGTACGTCTGTATAATTAATAATTTCACAGAATCTATTTAGGAAATTTGTATTCTATATAACCACACCTTTGATGCTTAGGACTAGGTTAGAATAGTAGTGTTGATTTACACTCTTCCAAATTTCATTTACCGCTTATTAGCATCTTTGTATTTGTGTTTAGAAAATAAAATCCATATATTTATTACATGAAACAAAAATTGATAATACAACAAAGACGTGAAAATGACCATTATAGAGTTTTTTCTAAAAATTTTTTAGAATTTAACGGGACACAGATTTTTCGTGTTAATTTCAAATCCTAAAAAAAGCTTTACAACTTTCAATTAGATTGAAGAAATTAATGATAATATTTAAAAATATTGACTCAGATATGGCAGAACTTTTGCTGTTAAATAATCAATAAGTTAGAATTGAACCAATTGCTAGCTTTAAATATTTGATTGAACAAGATGATTTGCTTTTTCAACAAATATTCATCCTGCAACAATTAACTTCAACCGCATTTTTAAAAGAATTTATGGAATAATTATTTTCAAGAAATAATTCATTAGCTAAATCATTAATTAAAAAAATTAATTATATTAAAAAGAATAATAATTATTAATTTATCCAATCTATAAAATCTTGTTTATATCAACAAAGTACAAAGTTTTTTCTTTTGATACAAAACGACTTGATAGATTAAATAAAGAATTTCCAATTCTCGAAAATTTTACCAGTAAGGAAACAAATTATCTTTTTAAATTTTGGAAATCAATTAAAAAGTAATTTTATGCTTTTTGCATCAATAACTTAGAACAATTTTAGATTTTTTAATTAAACTACAAAATAAATTTTTGAATAATATTATAATTTTTCCAATTGAAAATGTAACTACTACTCAAAAAATATATTATATTTTAATATATTGACAGTGACGCAAGCATGAGATAATAATTTATTGATTATGAATGGGATGATAAAATTTTAAAATATAGTCAAAGAGATCTGAATACGAATAAAAATGCAAACTTTACATTTGATTTACAAAAGATTGAAATGACATTATCTAGGAAGTTAAATTGTAATTTTAGGTTGGGAGATAACCATAACCAATTCTATTTAAAATTTTTCATTTAAATATGAATTATTTTATAACTCTTCAAAAAATTCATTTTAATATTAAAATAAAAAACCTACAAACGTTTGATTATATCACTTCATCAGCAACATATAATTTTAAACTTATCTGAATTACTTTTATTATTTAAAATATTCTCTACAACATTAACATACTTATTTTAGATTTAGTTAATCAATGGTTAAAATTAGCTAGATACAATGTAACATCTATATATATTTTTGAAGAATTTTCTTTAAAACTTATTATTGCATTTTGAAGAACAAGTTGCTAATTCAGTAATTCATAATATTGATGGTAAATTTAATAATTTCATTGATACAAAAGATGGGATTCAATCAGTGTTTAGATCCGTTCAATCCGGATATCCTAAAATTATCCAAATATCCAAATATTTTTGCAGATTAATTCAGGCTAAATTTATAATTCCGACCAGAATTATTACTCGGTTCCACAAAAAATATTTTTTTAAAGAACTAAAAATTTCCTTTTTAATAAATCTGGTAACAGTAATTACATTATTCTGGGCCAGCATTATAAAATGACCCTAATTACATAATTTTGTATCCGTCAAGCCAGATATCCAAATATCCGTTTTTTTAACGGATAACGATACGATAGAACTCTAGACTCAATTAATGATATAATAAAATTTAATACAAAAACTTATTCTGCAAAAGAATTTATTCTTGATTTATTTATAGATTCCTAAAATTTGAATGTTTTTAGATTTTACATTAAGAGAAAATTTACATCACATAGGCGTGATCACGCGATTTCTCGAATTTTTTGATTGGCTAATTTTTCCATTTTATTAGATATATAATTATAACCGAAAAAGCCAAAGAATTTATAGAAGTAAAATGTTTAATATTAATAAATCCAATTATTTAATTTATTAATATTAGTGACGGAATGCACCAAGAAATAAAATTACGAAGCTCAAATATAAATAAGAAATCAATCAAAAAATAAAAATCACAACCCAAGCACAACAAAAAACTGAATACAATAAAAGCAAAATAAAAAAACGAGACTAAAATCTAAGCATAAATGAAATCAAAAAATTCCAGTTAAAGTATAATAAATATCCTAAGTACAATGATAAAATCTGAAGTAAATTAAAAAAAACTTAAGTACAATAAAGACAAGAAAAGAAATTGCAAGCTCAATATAAAAAAAAAAAAATAAACAAAGCCAAGCATGTAAATAAAAAAAATTTAAAAATCAAAGTGCAGAAAATTTTCGAATGAAACAAGCAATAATAAAATAAAGGTGTGGTCACACGGTTTTAACACATAAATTAATTATCACTTTAAATTTATGAACTAAAATAGAATTAATAATAAAATATACTAGACGCTAACAACAAAATGATCACCTAATAATTATTATTACTGATTCTAAATTCATCACAAGAAGCTTGACTATGGTTACAACTTAATTCATTGCATGACTCTCGACTTCGTTTAATAATTACTTCATGAGTTACTATACTTCGTTTAACAAATAATTCATTATTTACCGTAGGAAGTAATCTGCTCTTGTATACGGCTTCTGAATGTATTTTGATCTTTGGTAGCTTTTTGATCGTATTACGACTACTATCAGCCTTGCTCCACACATCATCACCTTCCAAAATATCATTCAACCATTTCTCTATTTCTCTTACAATATTTGCAATATTTGGCCTTTCAATTGGATTTTCATGCCAGCATTTTTGCATTAGTTCTTTATAACATTCAGGAGTTCCTTCGACAATTTCTGGACGAAACCCATCACAGATCTTAAGCGCAAGGTTGAAATTATGTGGAATGTTAGGAAAAGGTCTATGACCTGAGGATAACTCCCACATGATTATTCCAAAACTATAAATATCAGACGCCTGGGTGAACGGTTTGCCCCTTAACAACTCGGGAGCCATATATGGCATAACACCGTAAACATCCTTTTTGGATACTGATGAGTTTGCGGGACGGCACAATCCCAGATCCCCAATAGCCGCATAACTCACATCTATGAGAAGATTCCCACTATGAATATCTCTGTGCATCAATCCTTCTGAGTGAATGGTATTGAGACCACGGGCAATATCCAAAAGATGATCAAGACATTTAGACCAAGTCAAGTCGTCAAAGTTTTCAGCAAGATATTTTCCCAAGTCTCCACGTGCACAGTATTCTAAAACCATTATATATTCTTTGGATTCCGGGTTTTGTGAAATACCGTGACAACGAACAATTTCCGAGCAAGTATTAGAACTTCTGTATAATTTCAAGTGTGAAGTAATCTACAAATATAAAATTGGTGTTAAAATTGTAATTTGTAAGCAATCAAAGTATTTGTATTATAATGTATATCGATATTACCTCGCTTAGAAAGTCTGATGAAATGTTTTGAGAATTAAACAACACCTTCAATGCAACAGGTACACGTGGCCACCTAAACCACCGTTTCTTCTCGCGATCCCAATACAGAATAGGTCCATTCGACCAGGTTGCCTTAAAAACTTGCCCAAATCCACCCTTACTAATAAATTTGATGTCAGTGAATTGTTCGTAAGGTATCCACTCAAATGTACTCTCATAATGGGATGTGTTAATCTGGGTTTTTCTTATAAGTTCATCAACATTGTTGTTACCACTAGTCCATAAAGGAAATTCGTCAATAAAGTGCTTACTATTACAAGGTGTACACCACGAACTCCAATCATCACCAAAACCATTTAGATTGCCGCATTCTTGACAAATTCCATTTTCCGATTCTTTATTTGACGTTTCAGAGGCAGAATGTCCTTTGTATAGAGCCTTGACCTTTGATATGTGGCTATCCATCCTATATATTGTTATAATATATGGATATGAGATGATATGAGATTATATCTCAATTGAAGGATTTACCGGTAAGTCTGCGCAGTTATAATCTTGTATAAATATCTTAATATCAACGGGAAAAGGGTATGTTTTTACTTCTTAAAAAATTTCTAGTTTATAATCCTAGAACCGGTGGACGTGGCTAGCAAAATTGCGGCCATTAAATATCCTTCAAAATTATTTTTAAATTCCAGAATCGGGACTTCTGTAAAAGGTTAATCAATCGAAAATCACAATCGTAATTATCAATTCTGGCCTATGTGTACCATAAATATTTTTGTTTACCTTTGGGACCCTTGTAAAAACGATAATCCGTGTTTTACGTTCCATCCGTAAATGTTATTTACGGAATTATAACCTCAAGTAATGGAAATTGCTTTCGGGAAATTCCTAACGAAGAAGAAATTTAAAGACTGGTTTCGGGTGTAAGGTCTTGCTTGACAGAATTATTATGTCTTTGTAAAAAATTATGTAAATAAAAAATTGTACAAATTATATTTTTACAAGAATTAAACGCAACATTACCCTTATCGCACAGCCCTGTAGAATTATGCTGATTTTATTTGCATATAATATTGATAACAATAGTACAATATTGATAATGTCGAGCATGATCCTTGTCTCATAATAATATCAGTCATATTAAAATCACGCATATTGATAATTCTTTGTGCCAACTATAAAGTAATCGCATTGGTAAGATAATATTGTACAGTGATATTTATATTGGTTAACGCCACCTCGTGATGTTAACCAACATAAATACAACACCGTACAAAATCTAATCATTGTCTAATTTTTTGAAAAACAGGACCAGCTCTATTTAAAATTTATTACACACTTAAAACAAATACACAATCCTTATGTAATGGATGATTAAGCTAGAA